TAAAAAAAAATAGAAGGTCTATCAACGTGTAATCTTATTTTATCCGTGCCTGAAACGACACTCTGCGACTACAATATCTCCGATTGAAAATTATATATTAGAATCTTCTAATGAGGCCAAGCTCGTACTTCAGTTGCAGTTGACTAACTCTACGCTTCAATTACCGAGTCCAAAAGTTTTGAGACTGATTATCCAATGTCTAAAAAAGTAAAGTAACAGCCTATACATGTCCCACTGCTGGGCAAAGGCAACATCGGACAAACATAGGAGGGAAAAAGTGTTGTAAGGGGTTGAAAGGTTAAAGAAAGATATTTATTTAAGGGCTTCAAGGCGCGGTTGAAAAGCTAGTTATATATACGAACTTCATATATTCGGGCAGCGATAGTCAGCCGTCTACAAAGTCGCACCAGTAGAATTCCAGTTCTGCAAGTTATTACGCAACAGCGATAACAATAAATTGAATCATTAATGCGCTGTACGTTCGCATTTTAGGCATCCTGCTCGGTCTCCATTTTTTTTTTCAATAATCGGGATCGAACCCACACCCACTGCCGCAAGACGCTGCTTCACTACCCACTACGCCAATCGAGTCTTCATTGTCGGGAATGATGGTCGATCGCGGCACGAATGTCTTATTAGACGTGTTTAGACGCAGCATTATCTTGTCCCCAAACTAAGCAAAACTTGTAGAGCACAGGTTAATAGGTAACTGAAAAACGTACTTAAACACGTTTTTGTTGGAAAACGCTGGAAAAACACTATGTTCATTACACAATGTTTTGACGGTAATGGGGATTGAACCCATATCGCCGATTGGCGCAAGGGAAAGCCTCACTTTTCACTATGCTAATCGGGTCTTCATAAATTAAAACCGCTACGTCATAAAGCCTTTGCTGTTATAATGAGCGGCCGAATAACCTTTAGTTTACGATTATCATAATTAGACACGACAGCAGCCTTTTTCATGCTCCATATTTATTCTGGGAACTCTTGACTGGCTTTTGTAACCGTCTGTCGGTTTTTTTTTTATGTCTGTCCACCCTGATTTAAAGAATATAGCTACATCACCTTATGTTGCGCGCCCTAGGGGCATGACCGGTGGTTCATACGCGCCACATTTTCTAATACATTGAAACAGCGTTGTAACCTGAGGCGCTTTTAATTTTTAGCTAAATGAATGATGATTGAAACACAAAACTTATTTCAGGGTTACACGATTCGTCTTGCTTACTAATTAGCCGTTTATTCTATTGTTACTTTCATAGGGCACTGGAGAAAATTGCATGCAAAAAATGTCGTCATTATTTAACTACGTTATTAAGCTAAGAAAAACATCTCAAATTTACTGAAAAGCAACTTAGCCTTATTTAGTCTGTAACATTAAACATTTGCTCAAGCTTTGAGCTTTGTTAGATTTGCGCACAGTTAAACAACCATTGCTAATAAAATTCCCCGAACATAGTAACTGAATTCTGATCGTATACAAAGAATGCGTACAGTGAATCAGTGGATTCCACGAAGTACGTACACATATCTGCGCCGTCCCGCCCCCTTCTCCCTCGGAAGCCAATATGCATTAAAAATTAAAACATCAAAGCAGCCGTTGTCTATACTGTATGTCATTCGGAGCTCGAAATTATTAATTAAAAACGTGGAACTCGGAATCACGCACGAAACGTTCCGTACAATTCTACATTTATAAAAACACTTAAATATTTTTTATTCTGTTTTTAGTATTTGTTGCTATAGCGGCAACAGAAACTATTATGGTTCAGATGATTTGAGATTTCAAATTGAGATACAGACGCGGATAGACAGCGGAGTCTTAGTAATGGGGTCCAGTTTTACCCTTTGAGGTACAGAACCCTAAAAAAATGGATTGCTTTCTCCCTCAGGCGTCCTGTGGTTTGGTTCGGGTGTTTTCTTTTTCGACGAGTGCAATTCGGGAACTTTATAAAGTAAAATCCGGCGCGGAATATTCAGCTAGTTCAAAGGAAAACATATCCGCTGGAAATTAATGTTGATCCAGTCAAAGCGCGAGATTGCATTTCACACCACAGTGGGTTGTTATTGCAGTAAAAGATTGGGGAGGACCTCTCGTTTTTAGCGTTCATTTCTTTGCGGGTTAATTATTGTTGAGAACGTCGTGCAAATTTGCGAGTAATGGATATCTAAATCGAAAAACCTACGGGCGAGTGCGGACCCTTCCATCGCCAGTTTTCTTTTAATTGTTCTTAAAAATAATAACGTACGCCTTCGGTATTAGACATACAGTACCTGGAGTACCGAGCGTCGCTCGGTTTGTTTTTTTTTTTTGTAAATCGTGTATTTTGGAAATTACATTTAGATACAAATCACTGAGTAATGAAATATGCATAATATTTTTCGATCTTACCGACCTAATAATAAGAAATATGTAGTGGTGTTTTTCACAAAAGAAACAACTTTAAAAAAGGGGAAAAAATAACAAAATCATCTGGATCAACAAAAAATAAAAAATAAAGTAAAAAAAAAGTAAAAAAAGAGTGTGTAAATGATCGTGACACGAACCACGGCCGTCTGTTTTGGGGCCGCCCGATTACCGACAGAGCTATTATAACATTTTTTTTGCGGCGAAATTTACCGTCATATTCGAATGATATTTTTCATTCCCTGAAAACAGGGATAAAAGGACATTTTCCAAGAATGAAACCTAGCTAGATGGATTTTTCTCCCCTGAATCTACGCATATACTAAATTTATAATATATATACAAGAATTGCTCGTTTAAAGGATAAGATATATTTTTTACTAGCTGCTGCCCGCGACTACTTCTGCGTAGAATAGACTAAAGGCGTAACATTCAGACAGAAAAACAGATATACATAAATTATGTATATAAATTATAGCCTATGTCTTATTCTGATGTATAAGCTATATTATTGCAAAGTTTCATTAAAATCCATTCAGTAGTATTTTCGTGAAAGTGTAACAAACATCCATCCGTACATACAAACTTTCGCATTAATAATATTAGTAAGTATATAAGTGCTACTCCGACAAACAGCCATGATAGGTACAATTAAGCATCCAATGTCAATTAACGCTTCCAGCTTTGTCCAGTGTGATAAAATCAATGTTTAAAATCAACAGTTTCGTCAATGAACTCGCCGTGGACTGCAGTCCCTTTTATGTTTAATGAGGCGCAATTGGTGCGATAGCTAAAAAAAACTTTGCGAAAAATGTCCATCACACGTATTTATTAAACATTAATATGAAACGGTACAAGTGACGATCAGGTGTTTTATAACATCAAAAACAAATTCCAACTTTGAGATTGTGTAATTTTAACGAAGCCATTTCATTGAATAACAATGCGATTTGTGTTGTGTGAGATATAAAAAGAACTGAGATAATTTTGTATTGACAGGACCATTAGCGTATGACGTTCAATACAGATTGTTGAGATGAATTATTAGAGGATTGTTATTGATTAAAATCGATTCTTTAGAAAGTTGGAGACTAGAAGTTAAAAATTGAAATAAGATTTTTTTTTTAAGAAACAGCTCTGAATTAACAACGAATGATTTAAATTGTATGTTAATAATAATAAAAAAATAAGGTCGCCTGAGTTTCTTACACCGGTTCTTAGGACAGCGACTTTTCTTTTCCAAACCGGTAGTAGAATGTTGACAATCAATAAGTAAATGTAAGCTCCCATATTGAATAAAGATATTTGTATAAGTTATTTTAGTGCTAATCTTTGCACTTAAAATGAAACATTATAATTATTATTAGAAAAGATGGACAAAAAGTTATTCGCCGCTGCAGGCAGCAGCAAAGGTGTTAGAACTATAATTGTAAAACGTTGCTTGAAATTGTTTGTTCTGTAGAGGACATAACAATAAATGCGCGAAGCATTGATTAAAATGGAAAAAACCGTCCAGGTGCGAGTCGGACTTGTACACGAAGGATTCCGTACCGTTATCTACAAGTCCTTTAAATTGTTTCAGAGCCCATACAACTCGTGACTGATAACAAAGTACTATCTTAATTCTGTGTGACTATGTGTCGACGCCAATTAAGATATTTTTTCCCTTTTATAAATATTATTATATTTCTATTATACTATTAAGATATTTCCCCCTCCCCCGCTCCCCTACATATGCATGGGGGAGGGGGACCTTTAATTTTCAACTTGTTTGATTATTATGATATTTTTGCTAAATTTGGTGATTCTCTTTCGTTTTCGACCCGAAACCTATAGGGTACTACCAGTTTACGATGAATACTGTCAATTTTTTTATACATTTTTAATTTTTTTATAGTATTAAAACATAAAAAAAAATTATCCGAATTGTTCCAGCGATTGGTCAAGCCATTCATGACTTATGCGATTACCAACATTCATTCCTATTTATTAAGACTAGGTCTTACAGAATGAGCAAGCGAAAATTCCGAAAAATAAAATGTTGAAAATTTAGGTAAAATTTGGTACTTACAAATTTAAGCGAAAATCTAAATTTGCCCATACATTTTTCCAGAGAAAATCGGCGATGGCACACGGACATACGGACAAAAGAGTGATCGTATCAGGGTTCCTTTTTTTTGCCGTTTGATGTACGGTATTCTAAAAACGTTGTAGATCAAATACGTTGAGATTTTCGCCAGCGTGGCGTGGTAATCAACCCGCTTAGCTTACTGGTTGCATCTGAATACGATTCCAGAAGAAATTCGACTGCCCCAGTAACTTTTCGTCCATTTTTTTTTTTGAGAAATGCTTTGTCTGCCATAGTATAAGTTCACGACGGTTCCAAAATTACCGACGTAAAATTGTAATCACTTAGTTTTTAAAGATTTTACGCTTCTAGGAAAATAAAATGATCTCGCGTTCGATTAACGATTTTTTTTTTCAAAAAACAGTGATCAATTAAATCGCATGGCGTCGTGCATTTATATTCTGCTTGTGTGTTTTTTCGGAGGAGATGTCAAGTTTAATGTCAATTGTGCCCATCCCTGACGTTTCTCCTTGGTGTTCAATTTATTAAAGGGCGACGGCGCATCTGCAACGCCCACGGATGTTGCAACGCGGCGGCTATCACCTGACACCAGGTGTGGCGCCAGCTCGCTTGCCACAAAAAACCCAATTTTGTAGCACCCTGTGATTGACGACACCGTTTTCGGAGTAACACATAATTGGCATTGAGAGGAAGAAACCCTCGACGAAGAAAAGTCATCTCACCCGTGATCCGCTGTGCGATGGAGGTCATGGCGGGCAGGGTGGGCGCGTAGATCGTGAGATGGGGCGACATGGGCCTGTTAAGGTCCATATTCTTCTTGTCGTGAGGCTTCTGCGGCGGTGCGCAGTACGGCTTGTAGGACACGGTGTGCTTACTGCCACCGCCTCCGGCAGACTTGCCACAAACCGACTTGGTGGACGCCACTTGCATGACCCACGGTGCCCTTTGATGGCTGAAGTAGCTGAAACAATTCACATTAAACTTCAAAATGTCTTTAATCAAATGGACGCTTGCGCTTTATTAATACATAAATTATATAAACAATTAATTAGAAACATAATATTCGTTTGACGGTGGCTGTGGTGAGTACACTATGAAGTGTGTGAGGTATAATCTATGACTCATTAGTATATTAAAATGTTTAGTGATAAAACTTATAACGTAATTTTCCAATATCATATCGGGTATCTGGTAAACTTTAAATAGAACTGAATACTCGATAACGTGAAGTAGAATCCCTAAGAGAGGCGATGTAAAAGTCTAAAAGCATGAGCTCCGCCGACCTAAGTGACGACCCCATAATCTATTTCCCCTGTGCACTTTCCTTTTGCACTTCTGAATATCAGTGATCGCATCGGAACTGCATTAGACGGCTGCCGGGCAACGGCGCTCTGCGATATCATTTTTTTAACGCCAACCCTTTTGTCGCTTCGCCGTAAGTAAGTGCTTTTAACGAAGACGCAATGGAATTGCCACGTGAAGTCCCCCAAATGGACGCTTCATACTGTCTTCCAGCCGAAAACATGGAAGGGACAAAACTCAGTTTAAAAATTGACACGTTAAACAAAGTTTAAGCGTTGAGATAGCCTCAATTCAACTGCAGCATAGCATAACCCCCTCTGTAAAAGCTCCCTCAGCAAGATTGTTTTTTTTTTGTGCGATGGAACTTCACCAACACGCACCGAGTACACATTGTCGCGATATTTGCTCTTTGGCACGTGCCGTTAGAAGAATTCATGTTGTTTGCACACGAACGGTCCGTAGTGTTATCGAGGCTGAGTTTTCATAGGTGACATTCAACTAAAAACTGACCTTAACACTTCATATGTTAAATTCAAAATTACCTGGCGCTATTCGTGCTTAAGACCTGTGTATTGTTAAATCGCTTCCCCCTAGTCCGCGCAATCCTGCATTCTACCTAATAGGGGTGCCTAGATACAAATCTTTATATCTCATATATAAAAATGGATTGTTGTTCGTTAGTCTCGCTAAATCTCGAAAACGACGGGACCGATTTGGTTAATTTTGTGTGAGAGAATTAATGTGAAAATTTAGGGAAAAATTGCATGGGAAATCTAAATAGCTACAAATTTATTTTCCCATATAAAATGTACCTGTCAACTATGTCTGTGTAACCTGCCAAACACTTATATGCGTGCGTTCCGATTCCTCTAGAAATAATTTATATGAGAAAACAATGTTTGCCGAGTCAGCTAGTAAAAAATAAATTTTTTAGCTAATCTATTCCGGTAACAAGTTTAACCGAAGAAGGTATGCCGTAACAAGCATTTTCCGGAGAGACATAGCGTTAGGTGATATGTCGGAGTAGTGAAACTTATCATTTCCATTAACAATGACGATGTTGACCAAAGCCTTGTAAAAACGAACATCAAACGAAAAATAGCGCGCTGCTCTCATCCCAGCCGTCACTGGATATGTTTCGAAGTCACGATATATTGTCAATCAGCGGGAGGATTTAGATCCTTAAACAAAAGCATGACGTGTAATGCATCAAAAGTTTAACTGGCCACGGTGGTTCAGGATTTTCTAGCGCTATTTTTCCTTTAACAACTACAAAAACAAATCCACTCCTACTGTGGTAGGGCCACGCAATAGTCTTCGCTGTTGCACGAATGGGCAGGTCCGTCCGGGGAAGTACCATGACGTCACAGAAGACTGGCGTGAAGTGGAAGGTTACACTTCTGCGTTTCGTCTAGCGAGCGAAGCCACCGGGGCCCACTACGTTAAAAGCTGGCAATGCGTCTGTCTGAAACCAGATGAAAGTAAGGGTCAGCTCACCTGCCACCTAGTCACATGAAATAGCCAGAACAAATCCTAAGCAGCATGTAACGATTGATTAAATTAACTGATGATTAAAGCACGAAAGCAGTGCCGGATTAACCACGTAGCAAGAGACACGTTAAACCCACTCATGTCTGTCTGAGCGTAATTTTTTGATAGAACCTTATCAAGTAAGTAAGAGTATTGAATACACTTTATACTTAAGAAACCATTGCAGAAAAAAAAAAACCGCTGGAAAGAATTTGCTACGGGGTCCGCGTAGCACATAAAATTAATAAATAAGTTAAAATTTCCATAGCAGAACACCATAGGACTGCGCCAAGCTCATATCTAGGGTAAAAACATTAACACAACACATTCACGGACGTTTCGAGTTCGCTTTTATTTCGTTTACCTCGGCCATGAATCAAATTGAGACGGGAGCTGCGTGGAACTAAACAGGGCACTAATACAATTATCGGCTCTACTTCCCTCTGCGGAAATTAGTTTAGTCATATGCGCCGCAACCCGTTGGTGTGCCAATTGGAATATTTGCTTTGTACCGTGTATCGGTAACGTTACGTTTGCCAAACACAATCATGCAAACAAAACCATAATCGGCGATGATCAAAGTTACTAATTGAGAATGCTTCAATACCTATTCCACTATTCCGATATAGAATCCGATTCGACTAAAATAGAAGTGTATCAAAAGTGCTATAGAGTTTTCAGTACGGGGGATCGTTAATAAAATGTACTGAAATATTCCGGGCTGCCTTTTTTATCACGGAAAAAAAATACAACTAAACTACTGTATGTAGGGAGGAATCTTTTCAAACATACCGATCCGTTACTCGTTAACAAATTCTTTGCAATATCCGCGAGCCAGTCTACTTTTGCACTGGTGCCGAAATTTGCAACGCATAACTTGATTAGTGTTGTATATTAATTATAACGTACACGCTATTTATAACATCATATTCATATACTACATTCATATAATTCATATAAGGTGGGCGAATAATTTCTGAGAGCACATTTTTAATTCATAAATTTGATATTTCGTTGACGTACAATATTGATTTCTCCTAAAATTTTGACCTTTCCGAAGATTTCTGGTTTTGAAGAGATACAATTAAAAATTGATGAGTATCGTCGTACTTTCGAATAAATGAGCAAGCTAGAAAAACTAAAATATACAAATGCATGCAATGTGATAATTTATTAACAGTACCTGGAGGACCGGTTTTTATTTGGTAAAAAGTGTATTTTGGAAATTAAAAAATAAGTGTGTAAATGATCGTGACACGAACCACGGCCTTTTGTTTCAGGGCCGCCCGATTACCGACCGAGCTATATTATAACATTTTTAGATTTTAGATTATAACATTTTTTTTTCGGCGAAATTTACCATCATATTCGAATGATATTTTTCATTCCCTGAAAGCAGAGAAAACGCACATACTAAATTTCATGAAAATCGCTGGAGCCGTTTCCGAGATTCCGATTATATATATATCATATCATCCGCAATTATATAGTTTTATTTAATGTGTATATATTCGAGTAAAATCAAGAATTAAATAGATTGCAATTCTATATACTGCTATCTCTTTCCATATCTTACGTTTTATATCATCTGTCACATTCACTCATATATGTCATATAATGTAACGCGGAACAATTTTTAAACGCCGCGCAGTATGAATACGCGTCAACTACATTATTAAACATCATATACGAGTATTCACAATTCTAGTTACCTATGTGTAATAATTCCTACGAACAAAAACATTTAGATTGTTTCAATAGCTAGCTTTTCACTCTGACTCTAAAGAGAGCGTAGACGCGACAATGTTTCAATTTACCTTAATTCTAAATAGCAAATATTTTGCTACCAACGGTCAGACGAATAACGGGAAAATACTCACGCGTTTTTGTTCAGGGCCCCCAATAAGGCAACGTTTTTAGCGGCGCCTCTGTTTCTGGCAAAGAACAGAAGCATATTGGAAAATCACGATAAAGCGTTGTAAACACAAAAATCGACTGACAGTTTTTTTTGACACGTCACACGAACAGGGCATACATTTTCCTTTTTAATCTGAATAATCGCATACGTTTGCAAATAGGTTTTAGTGCACGTCGTAAATAAAGTGAAACCTTTTACTGTTGCAATAAAAATGAGTCCATCCTTATAAAAAAACTAATTTACGATAATCGAAGCATGTGTAGGTTATTGGTACTTCTTAAGAAATCAAAGTTTCGTTTAAATTAATCAAGGTAACAGAGACTTACTGCGGTAGGGCTACGCAAAGGTCTACGCTGTAGCATAAAATGGGCAGGTTCGTCCGGAGAAATGCGTTTGTCTGCGTTCCGTCTGGCTTCGTTCGGAGTGAGGTAGCCGGAGCGCACTAGATTAAAAGGTGGCAACTCATTAGCAACCCTAAGGGTGTTGCAAATGTCAATGGGTGGCAGTTATCACTTATCATCAGATGAACCGCCAGTCCGCTTGCTAAATAAAAACGCTAACATGAATAATAATTGCCGTGATATAAATTATTTAAGAAAACAATACTATATTAAAAATAAAATATTAGTATTATGTCGCAAATCTAAATGTATAATAACTATATTAATAATTATAAATGATTTAATTTTATTTTAATGTATATATTTATTATTTATTATTTTAATATTTTTTATTTTAATTAATTATTTTTTAATATAATTAATTATTATTTAAATAATTAATTATTTTTATTTATTTTTATTATTTAAATAATTAATTATTTATTATTTTAAGTTTAATGTATATATTTAAAATAAAAGCGTGAATGAACGGAACATATATTTTTAATTATTATTTTTTTTTAAAACATACTCGGTTGAAGGATATAATCTGTTCCAAAAAAATGGTGCTTGATTGAATTAAAAAAAAATAACGCACGCCGTTCGCTCTGGGGGCACATTCGCTGAATCGACTGAATTGGATACAGGATGCATTCTTCACGTAAGCCATTTCCAAATTGGAGACGACGAAAGCCTCGCAACGGGTTTGTTGACAACGTAGCGACATCTTAGATTATGTACGTACCTTTTTTACGTACGTACCGCGTTTAGATGTCGTGTCGCGACGCTACAAATGTTATCAACTGACTTTAAAAACTTAGGTGGTTCTCAGTTCGACTGGATTTTTTTATGTTTGTTACCTCAGATCTTTCGACTGAGCGAGCCGATTTTGATGTCTTTTTTTTATTTGAAAGCTGATGCTTCCCATGTGGTCCCATATAATTTCATTGGTATTGGATATTGGGCTTCGGAGATAGTTAGGAACTTCTGAAAATCAATTATAAAATTAATACAGAGCCTGATATTAGATACCTGATAGATAGATCGGTTTTGTTTTACGTTAATAAAAAAATAATTGACTTGTTTTTACGAAATCGTTTTGGTATTCCTGTCTGCGTAAATACATTGTTTTATTATAAATTAATATACTCGCTTCGAATGTATAGGTGTTTATGGATTTGCTGTTGTTAGGTTCACGTTAACATTATTCTAGGAACATAACTTATGAACATAACTTATGAACATAACTTATGAACATAACTTATGGTGAGTCGCAGTTATTTATAAAATCAATACAATACCTATTAAACTTTTCAACGCCCTTGGCTCTTGAGGCTAGGTTAAATTTTATTTAAATTTATTCTTGTACATGTATATGCTATGCAGTCTTAAGGATGTATACTAAAATATCATATAGTAATCCTTTATAGAGTACAGTTCTACTCCTGCAACTATTATACATTTATGTACATTAATATTTTGCTTTGCTCTGCTAAATCCATGGTGCCGGGATAGTCTTCAAGTCAATTAAACGATAAAGATATTTTAATTTAATATGCATCATCTGCGGTATTAAATAATTTTCATCTAATTTAAAATTACGTAGTATTTATATTTCATTTCATTACGTAAGTATTTATTTCAAGAATTAATTAAATTAGGCATTTTGCATCAGAAATCTAAAATTATACGGACAACGCTGACAGGATATGGCGTATCTGACATTGATGTAAGAAATATTTATATTTAATTAAATTTATGTTATATAGGTAATTGGAATCAAAATATTCGCACAAGAGATGGCGTATCTGACGTTGATGTAAGAATGATTAAAGACACTAAATTAAATTTATGCGAATTATACAAATTGTTTGGAATTCAAATAATTCCTAAGGGAAAATAATCTTTCTCGCCCAATCATGTTTTAATGTCTGCACGGCGTGTAATATATATATATATATATATTTTTTATATTTTTTATATTTTTTAGATTAAAAAAAAAAAACATTGCCCTTACTGTAGGATACCATAATCCGTTTTACAAACATAAATTTCACGTGAACAAACACCCAGATCCGAAACGATTATCTTTGAGTCACATAAATACCTGTCCCATGTGGGCATCGAGCCCACGACCAACGTCGCCGAAGCCGTTCACTGCGCCACGAAGTCAACTATATGTCCATTTACCTCGTATTTGTTTATAATATCATTGCGTCGGACTAATCTGGGCTAATTGTATATTATATATAATAATCAAAGAGTAAAGTGACACGCACGAAATAATTCTGGATATTTTATACAATTATCAGACAATTTTTAAAACATTATTCAGGCCATTTTTTTATTAGTTGGTAATAGATAACATTTTTCTCCTCCTGTACACCTACGTCTACCAACAAATCGGTCGCTATTCAGTTATTACAGGGATCACGGTTTTTAATTAACGATGTATTGTTATATCGTTAAATAGCGGAACAAAATAATTTCAAAATAGTCTAGTGCGTTGAAGAACCATCGAAAAGGCGTCAGTCAACACGTTGAAAAGCTTAACTTCAAAGACCGGTCAATTGTACAACATATCTATCGATACAGCTACGACGTGCGCCGCTACTAGGCGCTAATACAATAAAGGAGGCTACTCTCAGGCCACCCTTCTCCCCGCGGGCCGTCTGTACACCGTTTTGGTACTCTCCAAATACAAGTGACGCTTTCAAATTTCACGGTTACTCAACCCTAAACTTTGTATGCGCAATAATTCGAAATAAATGCAGAACAATTATTCCCGTGTTACAATTTAGTGTCAGTTATATACGAACTGAAAAGTTTAGATAAACTGTCCACGAATATTTACGCTGTCAGGATTCGATCCCGCACCTCCCGGGTTAAGCGTTCTCATCCCGGCTGTGGCATGAATATTTTTCGACAGTTTACCTAGACATTTTAAGTTATATCTTAAGTGTTAAAGACTAGTACTGAAAAATTATCATACATTTTAAGAGCAAAGTTGAAATCTTTCGTTATAAAAATTCATAGTTAAGTTTTAAATGTAAGTCGTTCTCAAGGCCCAAACTAAGCAAAGCTTGTACCATTGCTATTAGATAACTGATAAACATAATTAAGCATACTTTACTTTTGTAAATAAATACCTATTACAAATATATAAACACCTAGACACTGGAAAAACAATATTTTACCAGTAGTGGGGATCTAGCCAACACCCTCTGGCGCAAGAGGCAGGTATACTACCCACTACGCCATTCGTGCTAAATGGTGATAATAAAACGAAAGCAAATTTGCCGAAATTATGCAAATTAGATAATATTAAATGTACTCTGCGCCAAACAGATCCGCTGAGAGTTCATTATTAAACTAACGTTTCGAATGTAACATGTAATACAAGTCAGTAATGAGAGTGCACAAGTACCGCAACCTGTTATTAGCAGAATGGGTAATTTCGTATGTTTGTACAGTTAAACGATCAAATATTTATTTAAATTCAGACTCTCCACCGGCACTATTTATTTACTATGATAAGTTCGCGTGCCGTTGCTTCGTTTAATCTGCGGTGAATTTCATATCCGCTTCGGCGCCCCTAAAACTAAAGAGAAAATATAAATGGAATTTTTCTCTTTACCTTTGCCTTCGGTTACCAAATACATTTCAATATTTGCATGTTCCCAGCATAATGTTTGTTCCCGTAGGAAATATTTATTAAATTTACTTTATGAATAATTCTTCACATTTTCAATTTGTATTTTTATCAAAACAGGATCTGACAGGATGTCAGAAGTTCGTCGAACAGATTTACATACATAATATGAATACAATATTTGTATTTACATTTAAACATTTGAGCAACTTAAAGTTCGTAAAACATCACTTCATACTCCTAAGTACAAACTTTTGGTTTATGCTTAAAATTAAAATCAATTTGTTTATTCGTCGTAAAAGGAAATGTATATTTCATCTATCAGTGGTAATTTTTAGGGTTCCGTACCCAAAGGGTAAAGCTTTTTATAGGTAATGGTAAGGAAGCGTTCGAGCGCGAGTCCCAATCGCACTTCGTTCGCGTTTCTTAATGAGATTCTACTAAGGGAGAAGAAGATACATTGCAGTAGAGTTTTTTTTAGAAACAGCGATCATTTCATTCTCAGGGATCATTGATTATACAATGTCAAAAAAGTCAAAGGTCAAATTTATTTATTCAATATTATGTTTACTTTATTACAAGTCAAAAAAGCTACCACTGGTACTATAAGTTAGATCTGTCCAGAGAACGGGCAAGAAACTCTGAGGTCTTGTTATCTTTTTTTTAATTATAATATAATTGAACAAAAGTACGTGTAAAATAAACATCAGCCAGGGGACTTACAACAGGGGCAAGTAGAGAACAATTCATTTCCACACATCCTAGTCCTCAATGTATTCTTCGACGTTATAATGTATTCATTTATATTACAATAACCAAGTATTGTATAAGTTCATTATTGTATTACGATAATTCAGTGTGTTAACGTGCGAATTCTATGTTTTACTGGCGTTCACTGGTGATGTGAATTAAATAAGTGAAAAATTAATAAAAGTTAAAAGGAAAAAAAGAAGAGGAAGAATTAAGGTCACGTTAACTGCAACATGTTAACTGTCACGCGTACG